TTATTATGAAAGAGCAACTCAAATTTTGGTATACAATATTTAATGTTTATTATTGATAAAACCACAAAAATTTTAAGCTTAAGTTTAAAAGTGAGCTAAAGCCACCCGTGTTTACGGTACAGGCAAATTTTAAAATTTGGTCTGGTTTTAGACATTTACCGTTCTTTAACATCTTTTAAAAGGTTTATATTTTAAAATAAAAGCAAGTCTTTTGAAATAATTGTATCGCTAATAATTATTTCTAATTTGCTATTCATATAACCAATGATAATAATACGCAAATCAGACTATGCGGCGCAGAGCACAGAACAATACGCGCAGACTGCGCCGCAGACAACGCTTAGCGGAAAGGTGCGGGCAGAAACAATTCGTATGAGTTCACGGCCTTGTTGGAATAGGAGGGTATTTAGGAAAATTTAATAAAAAAATATAATAATATTTAATAAAGTATAAACATTTAAATAATAATATTATTTATTTATTTATTTATTTAATTTCATAGCTCAATTTTTTTAACATGTGGGTAATATGTTTATTGCTTAAGCATGTCGAAGCCAATCGGGGGCCCCCCTAGCCGGGGGCCCCGTATCATTGATACGGCTGATACCGCGGTAGCTACGCCCCTGGTTAAATGTATATATAGTATACATACAATAATAACGTTATTAAATAAATCAAATTAGTATTTAATGCAATAACATTCTAACATTCTAACATAGATTTAGGAGCGATAACTTTTGTTGTTAATTTTAAAATAGTAAACGATTATAAACCAAGTGCTAACTACCTATTGGTATTATAGGAACTGTTATTCAGGAATACGGATTACAAGATCCCATTGGTTTAATGGCTCACCCATTCATACTATGCTAGCGTTTTTTCTGTGTATAAATTAAATAAAACATCAAAAATATTATTCACATTAAGTTTTATAAATTCGAAAAATAATCTTAATTATATTATTAATTGATTTTGAAATATAATGCGATCTTGTGGATGAGTAACAACAGGGTACTCCAGTTCTTGGCATTAATATCATCAGGCAATGGCGGCTCTGGTTTATTTATGCATCTAGCAATATTATGTAGTACAGCTGTGTGTCATTTTTTGTGACATTTTTTTTCGCTGTTATACCAGAAAATCTAATACTTTATAGAAAATAAAAAATTATGCCGCCGGGTAAAAGGTTCTAAGTGCAATAGCGGCTTAGCTCATTTAAAAATTCAATTTCCCATTGAAATAACACAGAAAATTTTTTTTGTTCGTTTTAATTAGATTTTTGGCTGTTAAACTTTTTTCCCTAAAAACTTTTTTATATCTTTTGTAGGAAATTAAATTCTCTACAAAATCATCCCTTTGCTCGAAGAAAAATAAAATGGAATTTGAGGTCTATTTTTATAAAAGTTTATATTTCCAGCGCTATAACTCTGAAACTACTGGTTATACGTGGTATAATGGTCTAAAATTTAACTTCTTCAAGATTTGCCCTATCTCATAAAAGATGCTTGGATTCGCGTCGGATCAATAACGACAATTATGATGATTGACAATGCTATTGACAAAAAATTAACATTTGTCTAAGAAGCAAACATTAAAAAGGTACCTAGTTGGGAGTATTTGAGGAGGTCCATTCCAAAACTCGGCTTACCCATATTAGTTGTTTTTGAGAAAAATGTCAAAAACCTTACACGTGAGTACTAACGCATATCAAGCTAACACAATATTTTAAACGAAATATATAGAAATAAGTAAAACATTTATATACCTTGATTAAAAAGGTATAGCTCGAATTTAAAATAATTTAAAATTACATACGTATATGCCGAGTTCTGCATGATATAACCAATAGATAAGGCAAGTTTTGGAACGATGGTCAATTTGTAAATCAATTTTAAATGGAATAAGGTGAGTTTTAGAATATTATGAACTTTTCAGGGTATAGGGGGATACATGTTAAATGTACAGACACCAATAACTCATTTTTATTAAAAAGTGGATACCGAATTTTGGACTAAACCTCCTCATTTATAATATTTTATTTATTTTTTATAATTAATTAAATATTTCAGAAAATTGTAAAAAAGCGGTCATTATATATATATAATCTTTATGCAATTCTTGAAGAAGTTAAATTTTATATGGCTGCGATTTATTATGCCTCAGAATTCTCCATAAAGTGGCCTGCGAAAGTTTTCTGGTACTTTATGTAGGGTCCAAAGTAATTTTACCTAACAGGTACTTAGAAATTAGAAATGAAAAATGAGGAAGTAGAAACACTGCCTCATTTCTCACCGGATTTTCAATATCTCATTTTTTATTCGCCACTGAACCAGTTTGCCCGAATTTTTTTACTAATTCCAGGATGTAACCATGATGAACGTGTCTATTTGCATGCCTTTAATTAAACAGAGTTGTATATTGATTGTTTATTAAATACAATTCAATAAATAATGTTGACTCTTCGCAATAGAATAAACACTTTTTTATCTAATCGAATAAAAATAAAAGCACACATCAACTACTTTAATGAACATAAAATTAATTTGTTTACTAATAGGTATTTGTTAGTTTAAAAACAAATTTTTCAACAATTATTTTGCTTTAAGAAATTTGTAAATAGGCGGTCCAGTAAATGTTCCAGTACACAGTAAAAAATATTGTTGCAACATGGATTTAAATATTAGGGAAATTTGGTACATTTTAAAAGTCCAATTTGGTACTTTAACTTTCCAACCACTGGCAACACTGTATGTAGGAATTGTCTCTAAATTAGAGACTCTATAGAGTCTCTAATTTAGAGACAATTCCTATTCCTATTATAATACGTATAAAATAGGTAAGTACATTATTTCTTATCATTTATATTAAAGATATTTTATTGCAAAAACTTGGAATGTGGATAGGCATTATATCTAAAATACTATTTAATAAATAAAAAAGATTATAAAATAAAAATTTTGTTTAAAAAATATTTGTGTTATTTATCTTATAATCGCTAATAAGAATTCTTAATTAATGTACTCTCAAAAACTTACATAGTAGGCTTTGTATTTTGTAAAAATATGTTTTTTTTGCTCCAAAAATACAGTTCATCAAGATCTACTTTAAAACAAATCCGGTTAAAATCGCAAAATAAATAAAGATTTTATAGGAGTGAGTCGCAAACAAATCCATTAGGGGATCGATGTTTGTGGGCTTATATTTACTATATTAGGCGTCAAATTTTTGATTATTAAATTGATCCATTGTTTTGTTACAGAGTGTTGCCTTATTTTAAAATTTCATTTCATTTGTCACATTTAGATTTAGATCACATTTTGTTTTAAACAAAAAGCTTTATTCCCTACAACACTTTGTATTAAAATGATTAATTTTTGGTGTGTAAATTATTATTTTTAAATAATTCATTTTGTACATCATAATTGTATATATGTATACTGTCTGTCCACGATAAATTGGCGGACCGAAGGAATTAAGTTATTTAGTTATTTAACGATTGTCGTGTTGTGTGCTTTTAAAACGTATTTTTTATAATACACAAAAAATCATCTCTAAGCAACGCTAATTAGAGTTCACACAGGTCCACTCTAAATAGTGTTGTTTTATAACACTACAATTAGAGTTAATTTGTAGTGTAATTTTCCCCAAGTAAGCAAGTATGATTTAATACTATAGCACTGAGGATAAAGTAATTTTACACTGCATTAAAAAGTGTTAATTTACCTAAAATCGTGTACTTCTACACTTCCTGAGTAAAATCCCACTTTTGTTCAGTGTAAATTAACACTACTTTGGAAAAGTTCTAATTTTATAAAGGTACTTTTACTCTTTTAGTGCAAACTTTTAGTGTAAATTAACACTATTATTTGAGTAAAACCTATTGGTGGTAGTTAATAAAACGAAAAGGTAAATAAAGAGAAACATTTATTTGGAACAAAAATCCATGACAATTATCAAAATCGGTGCCTTTTAAAATATAATTTTATATTTGAGTCGTATGGCTGGCTTAAGGAAAATGGTTCCTTAAAAGGTAAAAGTTTTAGATCAATGCAATGGCTATTAACTTGTAAGCACTGAATTATCTTGAGAATTCATCAGTACCTAATCCATTTTTTTGTTATACAAAATGAGTAATCCCATTGGTAGAGAGGCGTCAGGCGTCTGTATGTCGGGGATTTACCATAATAATATTATGATAATATTAATAAAAATGTAGGTATAGGTTAATATAACAACCATTACGCTTGAAAATAAAAAGTAAATCAAGTGTGTATGTATTTTTATATAATATAATATATATAATAATAATATATATTATTATTAATGTTACCCGACCTACTGCCGTAAATTATTGATATATAATATACGTCGGGTATGGACATCCTTTTAACATATTGGTATTTGGTATTGGCTCAAAGAAAAAGGAAGTATAATACACCAAAAAATAAGAATGTTCCCTTATGGATTCACCGTAATTAACTGAACAAAAATGCCACACTTCCACAACGCGGTATCTCCGGATATGCACTGCGTAGGTAGATAGGTACCTACCAACCAAACATTTTAAAACGCATTTCGGTTATTAGTTTTTTCAGTCTATTTTGCCACTATTGTTGTAATTTAACTTTAATTGTGATACAATGTGCACAAGTAGTGTAAAGAAAAATGATCTCTTAGTAACATCAAAACAGACAAAGAAATTGGAATGCACTCATATTCTTTAAATGTGTTTATTAAAGTTAATAAGCACTAAATGCTACCTAGTGTAATTTGTAGTGTAACTTTTATACTCTAATATTTTTACCCCTACACTAAAAAATTTACACGGGCAAAATTTTATATAATTTAAATATAATAATAATAAAAAACAAAACTGAGTAGGTATGTTTTTTAATACGCCAACTTATAATGGACAGTCTGTACTTTTGATGCCTTATCAAAATAGTTAACAAACAAGTGATAAGTTCTTAAATTAGAATTAATTTACCCAGTTTTAACGTATTTATCGTAAGCTTTTATTTATATATTATTACAATTTGTGTAAGACGCAGTTCTTAGGTTAAATTAAAAAAAAATATTATGATACATTTAAAAGTTTTGATTTTTCTGTGTTTTTTCGTGTTGACTTTACAGGTAAGTTTTACTTTGTCATGTTTTAATATTAGTTTCAAGAAATGAGGTTCATTTTTCTTTTGATATTCCTATGCCTGCCATATCGAATTTTACATGGTCGAAGGGAAAAAATCAAGAAATCTAAGGATTTATCACAATTAATACATAAGTTATGGTGGCTATAATAAAAACAAAAGATGGTAATGGTAACTAAAAATATAGTACCGAAGAAATAAAATAAAAATGTAGATACATGTTTTGAATTTCATCAAATATTTCATTTTAATAGGCTTGTAATTACACTTCTATTTTCTCCTAAAAAAAACATAAAATGAAACTTGTTGCACCCTGTATAATATGGAAAGTTTCCACCCCGGCTTTCTCAGGTGCTACACTGTTATAAAAATCAGATTTGTAGTGTGTTAATTTTATTTTCTAAAATTTTAAAACAATTTTTTGTATAAAACCAGGGTTTGTAATTATTTTAACAAAGGAAAATATTTTACCGAAAGTTTTGTAAAGGTAATATGCTTGACAAATTATTTCAACAATTGTTGATGCGTATTGTCGGTGGAAAATGTGAAAAACTATGTTTCTGCTTACTTTATTGTAATTCGTAACGTGTTCGTAACAACTGTCCAGAGTGTTTATATATGTATATATATATATATATATTACCAGAAATCTATTATTATTTTTGTTATTCGTATTCCGAGTAAGTTCCCCATTTCCAACAAATACTTTTGTTACTGGGTCTACAAAAAAGTTGGTGAAAATAAGGTCGTTTTTGAAAATTACAAGAATTATGGTTGAATTATTGACATAGGATTTTCTTATTAAATCCACAAAATGTTTATTAAAATTACAAATTACTTATTAAACAGATTACAGTTGGTTGTAAACTTAACATAAAGTTATGTGGACCTTAATTAACATAAAATCTGGTTAATATTTGATAAACATTAACAAATATTTTTTTACTATTTAACTAAAATTTGAAACATATTATAGGTACTATAAACTACAATATAATTTTTAGGACACTGTAAAAGTCACCCTCTATTATGAGTCCCTATGTCCATACAGTAAAGAATTTATCACGGAACAATTAGCACCAGCATACTCCGTCTTGGGGGATTCCCTGGATATCGAGTTAATTCCATTCGGAAAAGCAAAAGTAAGAATGCAACATTTTTCTCTAATCGGTCTATAATATAATAGTTATTTATGTCATAAGGCTAGTAGTACGGTTGGGTAGGCTCGAAGCCTGACAATTAGACTCCATGGTCCTTTTTATCTGCCCCTCCTAAACCAACCAGACTACTCCTCATCTTCCTCTTCGCCCATACCAGCCCTTTCGAATCTTCCAGACCTTCTTATAAAGGTCAGGATATCCTGCCAGGCAAGAGAGGCCAACTCTTCCCTTTGGAGTGTCATCACTCCAAAGATTTTATACCTTAGTCTGCCGAGGGCCTCACATTGTCCCAGGAAGTGAAAGGAGGTTTCATCCTCCCTTCCGCACTGGGTACAGGAGGGGCTGGTTTCAGCCCCTATTCTTGTGAGGTGTTTCCTTAGGCCATGACCTGTGAGTATATTCACAAGTGGGCCCAAGGAGGTTCGGCTTCTACCTAGAAGCCAGATGGATTTGGGTTTGCTTAGGGTGACCAGAAAATCCCTGGTCTGCCTACAGCCACCGCTTCTTCTCCAGCTTTCATTCGCTCTTTTATCAGCCCAATTATTTAGGGCTGATTTGACCTGCTTTCTGCGTGATTCCAAAAATTGGTTCGGGTCCTACACAGGGGGTTTCAGATCCCAATCTGGCCAACTCATCAGCCCGTTCGTTACCCTCAACCCCACTATGACCTGGTACCCATACGAGATGCACTCTTTTTGTACTTGCTAGCTTTTCCAGCGCTTCCTCACACTCTTGAACCAACTTCGATGTGGTTCTCGCTGCCCAAAGCGCTTTCAGAGCTGCTTGGCTATCTGAGCAGATATATATATCTGTCTCACTCCCTGTTCTTATATCCTCACAGTTTGCAACCTCAAGTATGGCAAACACTTCCGCTTGAAAGACAGTGGTATATCCTCCGAGCGGGTAGCTCCTTTGGATATCCCTGTCCTCCACGCAGAAACCTGCCCCTGAAGACAGTGTACTCGCCATACGAGAGCCATCAGTGTAGCACACTAGTGCATTTTGTGCAAAGTGTACATCCTTTTTCTCCCACTGCTCTCTTGTTGGTATCGTGAGGGAAAACTTCTTTTTTAAACTTAGGCGGTCTTTTGCTGGCATCGTTCTAATACTGCTAATTGGGACCTCCCTCTCAGCCATATCCGCGATGCCCTCATGACCATAAGTTATTCCTTTTCCTAACCAATTGTTGGCATCCCTCATCCTTAAATGGCTCGCCATTGCTTCTCTCTTTATCCAGAGGGAAAGATTAGGCAAGCTCAGCAAGGCCTCTAATGCCGTCGTTGGAGTAGTCCTCATTGCGCCTGTGATACCGAGACATGCCAGTCTCTGTATCTTGCTCAATTTTTGAGCGATGGTGGTTTTGCTCACACTGCGCCACCAGACCACTGATCCATAATGTATCCGCGGTCTGATGACAGCAGTATAAATCCAGTGAAGGACTTTGGGATTTACTCCCCAGCGTTTTCCCACCACCCGGCGCAGCTGCCAGAAAGTTGCAATCGATTTGTCAACAACTCTGTCAACGTGTGATTTCCAACTTAACTTCCTATCTAGGGTAACACCTAGGTACTTGACCTCTTCAGTAATCTCAAGAGGTCTTCCATACATGGCTGGTGCCCTGAAGTCCTGTATCTTCCTTCGTTTGGTAAAAAGAATCATGTCAGTTTTTGTTGGGTTAACCGACAGACCGTTTTCTTTGGACCAATTTTCTATTATTCTGCATGCTGTCTGCATTCTGTCGCAGACTACACCTAGAATGCCTCCTCTGATTAGGACTGTACCATCATCTGCATATGCTTGTGCATACAGCCCTTCGGCCGTCAGTCTCTCCAGAAGTCCATCCATTATTAAACACCATAGGTGGGGTGATAGGCAGCCGCCTTGTGGGCAGCCGCCCCTCACACCGATGTCCAAATGGCAGTCTCCCAGAGATGCACTGACCTGCCTCTCCTCCAGTGAAGATTTAATCCAACTAACCAGGACTGGGGGAGTGCCTCTGGCTTGCAGCGCTTCACAGATTGTAGATGTCCTCGCCTTATCAAAAGCCCCCTCTACATCAAAGAAAACAGCTAGTGCCATTTCCTTGTAGTGCAGTGCCTTTTCGACTCTATGCACTATAGAATGAAGAGCCGTTTCGGTCGACCTTCCATTTCTATAGGCATGTTGATTCTTATGGAATGGGTACCTTTTCAGCACCCCTTCTTGCAGGTACCGGTCCACGATCCTTTCTAATGTTTTAAAAAGAAAGGATGTTAGGCTTATTGGCCTGAAGGACTTTGCAGCCGAGTAGTCTTTTTTCCCTGCTTTGGGTATAAAGACCACTTTAGCTGCCCTCCAGGCTCTTGGGACATATCCCAGTGCCAGACTGGCTCGGAATATTCGTTCTATTCTTGGGAGAAGAATCTCCAAGCCTCTCTGTAGCAATGCTGGGAATATTCCATCCGGTCCTGCTGCCTTGTATGGATCGAACGCATTTACTGCCCATTCCACCGATCCCTCCTTCACGACGTCTTTGGCAAGGCCTAAGTCCCAGGTAAGGGTCTCTGGCCCCTCCGTTGTTGACGTGTGGGAAGGAGTTTCGCCGGGGAAGTGCGTTTCCAGGAGATGTCTTAGGGACTCTTCACTGGTGTTCGTCCACGATCCATCCAACCTTCTTAGGATTCCTACATTCCTTTTTGACTCACAGCTAAGGATCTTCATCAGCCTGGTTGACTCCTGAAGTGACTCTACAGTTCCACAGTATGTCTTCCAGCTGATATCCTTGCTGCGCCTTAACTCTTTTTTGTAAGACTTTCTGGCCTCCCTGTACGTATCCCACGTGGATTGCAGCCCATCCTTGATAGCCCGGTTGAATGCGCGCCTTGCCTTCTTTCGAAGGTCGTCAAGCACGTCACTCCACCACGGGACCTTTCGGCCCTTAGCCACCTTGGCCGGACAAGCAGTCTCGTAGGCTGTGGCAATCGTACTATTTAGGTGGTTAACTTCCTTCTCTAACTGTTCTTTGGTGGTAATGTCCACAGGAGGTTCCCAAGTTTGACTTTTTAGATTGGTGAGATATTTCTCCCAATCTGTAGCCCTTGGATTCCTCCTTGGGTTAGGAGTGACCTTGTCGACATTTAACTCAAATCTGATCATCCTGTGATCAGACATCGTTATATCGTTGGTCACTCTCCAGTTAGAAACATCTTCATATACTGACCTTGATGCCAACGTTATGTCTATTACTTCCTTCCGGTTGCAAATAACAAACGTTGGTTCTTTGCCTCTGTTTATTACCTCCAAGTCTGTTGATGCCAAATACCCTAGCAGAGATTCTCCCCTACTATTGGTGTTGGTACTGCCCCACACGTAGTGGTGGGCGTTGGAATCACATCCTAGCACGAGGGGTATGCACTTGTCACTCGCGAACTTGATTAATCGAGTTAGCTCCGGAGTAGGGCACGGTCCCTCGTACGGTAAATAGACGCTTCCTAATATAATCCTATTTCTAATGCCTCTTACCTTATATTCCAGCAGAACCGCCGTGACATCCCTAGCCCCCAATTGTGGAAGTGGTAGCACATTGAGTTCCTTGGACGTCAGTATGCATGTTCTGCTGCTCTCCTCCTCAGTGCCAACCATGATGTTTAGGCCAGTGGCACCCATTCCTCTAACCCCTTTCCTGTAAACATACGGTTCCTGTACCAGGACAATCTCGCCCTCCCTCCCTGCCAAGACGCTTGCCAGTTCCCCAGCAGCGTCCTTGCAGTGATGTAGGTTGATTTGGCTTACCCGTATGGTGTCCATGACGGAGTGTATCATGGTACGGCCTCAGCACCTAGTTTTCTTCAGTCTGCTTCGAGGTTCCAGCACCAGACGAGCCCTGGCGCACCACGCTACTCCAAGCCGAGACCCTCTTTACAGAGAGGGTCACCAACTCGAAGTAGAGGGCCCACCCAGACTCCTCCAGGCGCTTCACAACCTCTTGGCTAACCAAGAAGACTAGATGCCATGCTCCTGGTCCCCCTGTGGTCTCCAGATGTTTCCAATTCCCCACGTTAAGGGAGTGGTTCTGGAGATCAAGCATCCTTGTGACCTCTGCCAGGTCCACCTTTTCCTGCCTAAGCCAGAAACCAATCTTCACTGGCCATGGAGCTTCGGCGGCCTTCACCGAAGTGAAAACCACCCCCTCAACAGTCAGAGAAGACCAGCTCTCCAGCAGCCAACGCATCGAGGTGTCGTCCCTAGCCGATACCAAGTACCAGCCCGGGTCGACAAGGCCCGACTTGATGAATTTGAGTTCCAAGCGGGAGGATCCCTTAGTGGAATCCTCCATAGCTCGCCTCATTTCACTGATCAGGCTTGCCCTGATGCGTTCGCTTTCATTTGGCAGAACAGTACCTCCAATTCTGTTCGACAAGATGACCACTTGAAGACTTTTGTCGATTGTTGGTCGACTAGTAGCCTCCTGTCGAGCTTCTACCTTTTCTCTACTTTTCGGTCCCCTCTCCGACGCCTCGGCAATGTCTCTCTTTAAGGGGGAGACATACCGCCTAGCATCAGAAAAGGGCCTCGCCCTCTTTTTATTATATTCCGGAGGTGTCCCCTTATCCGCCCTCTGCCTTTTGCTGGAAGCTGGACCAGGGGCTCTTGTTTGAGCCCCCGTTTCCTGCCTCCTTGCATTAGCCGGCGCCGATGGTAATGGGGGGACGTTTTTACCCTTTCTCAGGTATTCCCTCCTTTTCGGACCTCTTGGAAGCTTGCCAGGTTCCCCAATTCGATTTGGCTTTACCCTTACCTGGCTTGAGCAGCTTGGTTGGGGGTCAGCCATCTCGGATCCGGTTGCCTGTTGAGGGACGTCAGATACTACTAGAGAACGTTGGTCCTCCTGTAGCCTCTTCAGTTCCTTTTTAGCCTCCTTTTCCTTAATTCTCTTTCTCTTATTTTTCTCTCTAGTCCTCTCCTTCCTCCTTTGGGCTTTGATCTCCAGAGCAGTGGCTTTGGCCGGCTCTGGTGATCCAGCAGGAGAGTTGAGAAGATCTACCTCTTCTACTGTCAGTGGTGACGACTCGCTTGTCACCACTGTGGAGCTGAGGGGCTCCGGTGTGCGTTCTTTTTGCACGTTACTAACTTCTGTTTCTTTGTACTCTTCCATAGTTGGTTTTTTTGTTTTGTTTACCTGACCAACACACACGCGCACACACTTATTTGGGCAGATATCTTTGGACTTTGGGCCTCCCAAAACTTCTCCTAGGGCCAACATAACACAACGTGGATCCCGGTGAGGAAGGTTGTCGGCCGCTTTCAAAAAGTGAAGCCCCCCGGAACATGCAGCAGGCCCTCACCCAGGCGCTACCTGGAACTACTACATGTAACGAGATTATACACCGATTGATAGGGCAGCCCCCTGGTACTAGCTAGGTAAGGGTGGGCCCCTGTACTACTCGGCGGCACGGGTGTGCGGTCCCGCTTTATTTCACCGCTACCGAACCAACTCGACCTCGATACGGGGTCGCGTAGCGTTAGCCCCAGGAGAGAGGGGAAGCCTTCCGTCCATGCCAGGTATTGGTGTAGAGCGTGTGTGAGCGCATGCGTCAATCAGGTTGGCTACCTGCAGGAACAAGTTCCTGGGCGATGGGGTCGCCATATCCCGACGCCAGGGGTTACCTTTTAGTCGCCTTTTACGACAAGCAGGTATTACTGTGGGCCAATTCTACTTTAGTGTCCCCGGTGCCACAGGGGATATGTCATAAGGCTAAAAAGTGAGTCTTTTTGTGCTGAGCTCAAAGTTCGAAGGCTAACGCGTTAAGCGAGCATAAAAAGACACTTCTCAGTCGAATGGCAAACAACGTTTTATATTTAAGGCAGTTTTATTTATTAAACGAAACAATAAAACGTACTTACAATTATAATAACAGTTATTTTTGCCAGACTAGGATGTAAACTTCACCTGATTGGTCTAAATTATTTTTACAGCCTACTAGATAATCGAATACTTTCGTAGTGAGCGTTGACAAAAGTAAAGCTTAGTAAGTAAAGTTGTATGTAGAACGCTTGAAGATAAACTTTATTATTGAGTACACTCGTTACTATAGTGATTTATTATGGCCTAGGCGCTTAAAAATACTTAAGACCAATCAGATTATGTAATTTATGGTCTAGGCCGTAAAAATTCGTTATTTACCACTTCGTACTAATAAAAATGCGACTTCTTTGAGATCGATCTAACCTTACTTTCTACTTTTAATAATTGAAGGAAGAAGAAGCAAAAAGGTACAAGTGCAAAAAAGAGAATTGTCCACTCCAAAGTTGTTAACTTTTTAAGTTTTTGCTATATATAGCAAAAACTTTAAAGTTAGTAACTCTGTATACCGGGTGTATCTGAGAATAGGCGCACCCCTTTAACTTTTTTATTTATAAAGATAGACACATGAAATTTAGCATGGTTAATTAGGATATAAAATGGCACTTATAAGAATACAAAATGAATTTTTTTGAACTTCCGGTTTCGCCGGAAATGATATTAACTTTTGATTTTTAAATGGAATGCCCTATATATTTTTACATATTTAGAATCCTGAGAAAATTCTGAGTCGGACAGCATCCTCAAATTGACCTTTCGACGTTTCGTCATCAGAAAATGCATCATCATAAAGATCAATCTAGAGTGCTTTGAACTATTTGAGAAAAAAGAATTTTAACAAGTTTAGACTTCTGGGAACAGCTGAATAACAACTTTCTAAGGCAAGTTCAATTTTTCAGGCATTGTGTGAATCCATTAGAAAAAAATAAGATAGTTCAAAGCACTCTGGATTGATCTTTATGATGATACATTTTCTGATGACGAAACGTCAAAAGGTCAATTTGAGGATGCTGTCTGGCTCAGAATTTCCTCAGGATTCCAAATATGTAAACATATATATGGCAATCAATTTAAAAAATCGAAAGTTGGTATCATTTCCGGCAAGACCGGTTCAAAAAATTCATTTTGTACTCTTATAAGTGGCATTTTATATCCTAATTAACCATGCGAAATTTCATGTGTCTATCTTTATAAACAAAAAAGCTACAGGGGTGCGCCTATTCTCAGATACACCCGGTATATACAAAAATCTGGATACTTGTTTCAATATTGTTGTTTACATTAATCAACATGCATAACTCGTACAATTTTTCACGTTATGAGAAAATAAAAAAAAAAGTAAAACAAATAAAAATGTGCCTTGAAGATAAAATGTTTATGCCATTCGACTGAGAAGTGTATTTTTGTACTCGCTCAGGCCAGGGAGTTTTTGACCTTATAAGATAAAAAAGTATTCTGTTATAAGCAATAATTTTTAGATATCAAACAATAAGGGAAAACGAAAAATGATTTGCCAACATGGACCCAAGGAATGTTTTGGTAATAAAATGCAGGCATGCGTTATTGACCAAAATTTTACACAAAAGCAGGAAATTGCATTAGTTAATTGTATCATGGATAATGATCCGGAAGTAAAGGAAAATGTTCAGGCAGTAAGTATAATGGATTTAAATTCAACTGCTGTTTAATTTTTCTTTACATTTATTTATTAAGGCTTTAATAAATAATAGTATATTTTGCGACTATAGTGAAAGAAAGACGAGATTCCTCGAGCGAAAAGTTAGCTGTACTATTGCGGCCGATAAAAAGTAATCGATTCTTTATCAATTTGCATGTTTTTCTTAAAAATTGGCTATTGTAAGTAGGGTTTTTTACGTCAGTCATGTCAATTAAATTATTTTGACAAGAAATCATAGGTGTATGACATATTTAATTTTTTAATAAAAAAAACTTAAATTATATAAAGCATGTTTATTCGTAATACAAACAAAAAGAACAAATTATTTATTGGGCGACCAAAATAAATAAATTTAAACTTAAAAAGAAATAGTATACTACGACTATAACAATTATAAAAGATGAGCCAACCGGGGTTGGATGGGCTCAGAAAAACCGGCCATGGCAATTTTTTCATTCAGCCTTCCCTCGGGCATTATCTTACATAATCTAAGACATTTGTAATGCTATAAAAAGTCCATTAAAAAAAAAAATTAATACTTGGTAGAGCCACCATTCTTCTCTATAACATTTTGTAATCTCCTAGGCATGGAACTAATTAAATTTTGCATATCGTAATTTTCTTCCAAATTGTTCCACTCATTTTGAATTGCTTGGTCTAAATTCATATTTATATATTTTTTTTTACGAGATATCCCCAAATATTTTCGATTGGGTTTAAATCGGGGCTTCTTGACGGCCAAGGAAGCGTTGTAATGAGATTTTCTTCTAGCCAATTATGAACCACATGAGCAGTGTGAACTGGCGAGTTATCCTTAAAATGAAAAAAAAATATTTTTTTGATCAGGAAAGATAAATCATAAAGTGTTACGTGTTGAAATACAAAATCATTATCAAATCTTTCTTGCACTGACGGGAGCATTACGTTTAAAATTTCCACGTATCGGTTCCCAATTAATCGGCCTTCTACAATATGAATTATACCAGCCCCTAAAGATGATATCCAGGCCCACACGGGGACAGAAAATCTTCCGCTGTTGTCAGTTTTGTGGAGGTATTCTTCATCAAACTTATGGTTTCTGGGACGATAAACTCGCAGTTGCCCATTGTAGCAGGATTGAAATATTTTTTCATCTGAAAAGACTACTCGCTCCCAATATTCAGCGTTTTGATTTAAAACATTATTTGCAAACTCCACTCTTGCCTCTTTATTAACATCCGTCAAGCGACGCATTTTAGCACTCACGCAGTTAAATAAACCTTGTTCTCGCAACCGGTTTCTTGCCGTCCTAACAGATGCTGGGAAGTTGGTTTCCTCTTTGGCTTGAATGGAGTTAGAAAATGGGTTTTGCCTCACAACTCGTTTTCGTTTACTGGAGTTGTCTTTCTTGGACGCCCAGAACCCATTACCCTACTCAGGTCACCAGTTTCCACCCACTTATGTTTAATTTTTGAATAGCGCTTCTGCTGCAGTTTATTTCATATGCTATTTGTTGTTGAGACCATCCTTCTCCAATTTTGGCGATAATATAGCCTTTATCTGCTTCACTTAAAGTATTGTAAGGCATAATTAAATAATGACTTTACTTAATTTAAGATTTACTTAATTTAAGATGACGTTACTTAATTTTATAAAATTATTTTTGAAATGCCACTGGTGACAACCATATTTACAACGGGAAAATTAGTCGATTACTTTTTATCGGCCGCAATAGTACCTATCTAATACAGTCCGTTCAGGCTAAGTTGAGCGCTTTGGTGGGGGATCATGTGGCCGTTGATTAATTTAAATATCGAATCGTCGCGAGATTTCGGTAACAAGAAGATGATTTATCAGTGCCGCCACTTGCCGTTTGTTAATACAGAGCGACTACCGAAATACATGTATTTAATTGTGCCTGAACATAGAGATGATGAACGGGGTGACATTCCTTAGACCGCTCAACTTAGCCTGAACGCACAGTACCTCTGTCACAATATTGGTAAGGTTATGGCGATGTTAATGCAAAACATTGAAATCACCTAATATATACACTATAGTGTTTACAATATTTATTGTGAACACTATTAGGAGCTTTCAATGTTTTGCGTAGTAACAGTATACCATAACATTAACATCGCCATAACATTACTACTAATGTAACAGAGGTATAAGGCCGCGAGTATGTTGAAGCTGTGATAAACCATAAAAGTAACGATAGCGACGACGCTCTATAGGCTAAAGAAGCATCGGGAATGTCAACATACATTAGGGCATAGAAACTGCACATCATTTTTTAATAAATAAGTAGTTTTTTTTCACAAAAGAGAGAAAGGCAGAAGTCTTACTCGACATTTTTTTTTCAATTGCACGTTATTTGTGTTTCGCGTTGCAAGTAAAAACTAAAAATCTTTGGTTAGATTATTATTTTTTATATAATTGTTTAAGAAACTCAACGCTTATATGCTTAAGTGATCATGGTGAATTATTGTGATTTTTTATTGTAAATAAAATTTAAGAAATAAATCGTTGCATTTTTATGTTTTACCAAAGGATCCAATTTGGTACTAATATTTTAATTAATTGTGGCACAAACATAACCTTAAAATCGAATTGAGTCCTCTAATAAAATGCCGACAACTGCAAAAATATATCTACGAATTCATGGCAACATAATATTATATATGTTACGGCTAATGTGCAAACTTGGATAGTTTATAAACTAGCTGGATAGTTTATAAACTAGCCAAACGGTCATCTATTTTAATTAAAAATGTATTTTCAACTAAATTAGCGGCTAGTTTACAAAATAACCAAGGATCTTGGCTAATTTACTTGAAATTATTAGGGAAACTAAAATAGCTGGATAGTTTGTATACTATCCAATTCAATTTGGCTAATATGAAAACCAAAATTTCTAGTAACACAAAATAGCCAAGCTTTAGCTAGTTTGTAAACTAACCAACTAATTCTCTGGCTATTGCCCATTTTAGGGTTGTGTTGTTGAGTTTTCTAACAAGGAAGCGTTAAAATTTTGCCTATGATTCATTTTAAAAACGTTAAAATGCACGTTTGCCGGTTAAACCGGCAAAACGAAAAACAATGCCGTAACCTCACTGTTTTAATAAATTAGCCAGAGAATTGGTTGGTTAGTTTACAAACTAGCTAAAGCTTGGCTATTTTGTGTTACTAGAAATTTTGGTTTTCATATTAGCCAAACTGAATTGGATAGTATACAAACTATCCAGCTATTTTAGTTTCCCTAATAATTTCAAGTAAATTAGCCAAGATCCTTGGTTATTTTGTAAACTAGCCGCTAATTTAGTTGAAAATATGTTTTCCATTAAAATAGCTGACAGTTTGGCTAGTTTATAAACTATCCAGCTAGTTTATAAAATATCCAAGTTTGCACATTAGCCATAACATATATAATACATAATATATTACCGGTTCTTAACATTATACCGTTGAGTGGAGACTTTCTTAATCAACGCTTTTAATAATGCATAATGCGTTGAGTTTAGAAGACTTATTTATTTTATGATTTTTCCTGAATTGAAATGTTTACAATTTTTACTTAATAGATACAATTTATATTTACAGGGACTGTATGCAATTTATTTCTTCATTTTCACTGTGTATTGGGAAACCGGTAAAAACTCAACCGAGGATCTCCTTTCAAAAAACACCCAACAACACAACAAATCGTGCTACGGTTTTTCCCGATATTTTTAACATTTTCCGACTTTATTCCCAAAAACACTCGTTTCTAACATACGCGTTTGACAGCTGCTTATTGAAAGCAGAATTCTTGTTACGATGATAACAGCCACGTGGTGGCGCTACTAGCGATGCTTCTTTAGCGTATACTCGAGGCCTATTCCGCAAGTGGAATCTTCTATTTCGACCAAAATCGCACACAATATTTTATTCAACTACCGCAAAAATATGCATAATAGTTTAAAAACGAAAAATTAAACAATTAAAGGACCAAAATCATTATGGCGCAACAAGTATAAAGCCAATTTTATTTGATATTTTACCTGAAATTTTAGTCCAGGAAACAAAGGTTGTAGAAGGAAAACTCGATCGTAGTCGGGTTTTATTTTTTTTATGTTGAGTCAGGGGTGCTGATAATGAATCAAGAATATTCCCCAAAAATTTATTTCCGCGTCCTCTAATTTCATCCATCGAAAGGGTAGTTTTTTGCTTTTTGGCTCATAACTCGCTAACTGTGCATTTTTTCATAATTTGACCTCTAATACTTTTGATTATGTACTAAATAAGGCACACCTTAAACCCCATTGCGCACCTATGATGATGATGTGCTCTTTTGCTATGCGCAGTGTGTTTTTTTAATATAGCCCAATTTTAAAAGTAATCGATCCCAAACCTTACGGTAATCAAACATTACCGATTGGACAATTTTTTGAGATACTAGACTTTTTTCATATGAGCCAAAAAGCAAAAAAACTCCCCTTTCGGGGGATGAAAGTAGGGAACACGGAAAGAAACTTTTGGGGAATATTCTTGATTCATTATAAGCACCCCTGACTCTACATAAAAAAAACCCCGACTACCATCGAGTTTTCCTTCTACAATCTTTGTTTCCTGGACTATTTGACATCTTTCAGAAAATTTCAACGTCGTTTTTTACAATTTTAATTTAAAGCTAACTTAACCCGTGGGCGAGATGCTACTTCACCCACTGAGTGTTTAAGTTAAGAAATGAACAATTAGGGAATTCATTATTTCGCCCACCCCAGTGTTACACGACGTTACATATTTCTTGCGGGTTTTGAATAAAATACCTTTACAAATTTTTTATTAATTAAAATACTACATTGACAAATCGTTTTTTAAATATTTAATTACAAATTTAGTGCTGCAAGAAATACGACATCCCTTGGAGACCGATAAAACGTTGTATAAAAGGAGACCGAGGTGATAGGTTGTTAAACGAATTTGGAAGTATAACAGATAAATTGGAACCAAAATTAACACACGTTCCTACCATAACCATTAATAACGTGTATAATACAACTATAGACGAGGATTCCAGGAGCAGCCTGTTAAAAACTGTTTGCAACTTTTTTGTAGAAAAACCCACTGGCTGTTAAAAATTGTGAAATATTTTTTATTATTTTGTAACGCGTTTTTAATAAAGATATTTTTGTATTCGTCGGCTTTGAAACAGTAATAATGGGTCTTAAAAAAAACTAAATAATAATAATAATTAAATATGAAAATTATTGCAAACAATAATTGTTATTTATTTGGTTTTAAATAGTAAATGCTCATAATTATCGATTTCCATTCATTTAAATTTAATAAGTGGTATAAAAAGAAGAAATCTGTATATCACGAAAATAAGAGCTAACCTAAAAAAACGACTAGCACTATTGGATTTAGCGTACTAGAATTAGGTAATTTCTTCTGGTGCCCTGCTTGTTAGATTTTGAACTAGCACAGTGATTTCAAAGGTTTAAATTTACAAAAAATATTTACTGTTTCATAAAAAATTAAAAATCTGTCCATGGTACCAGTACTACAAAAGCAAACTTTAAAGAGGATCTGGATATTGTTTCTTCATTTTGGTACTTATTGAATAGACATAATAAAATGAACCCAAGGACAACGAAATGTTTCTGTTCGATCAAATTGAGAAATTTATTTTTTAAATTTAAATTTTACCAATTTATATTTTAATATATTTTTTTTTACATCTCTTAAAATGTAGAGTTTATTTTATATTTAATTAAAGCAAATTTTTTATTTCAACCACTTATTCTGCAACCCCGAAAAAAAAATTACGTTATAATAATAAACTTGGCACATATATTATTTTATACCAAATTCAAAATCATAGACCATCGGAAAATACTTTTGACCGTATTTTTACGAATACGTCCCAATAAAAGTTAAAGTTTATTCAATAAAATATGTTTGGAGCAATTGAGGGTAAGGGATTGATGTTATTACAAATATTATATTCAGCCCATAACAAAATATTATCAAGTTAAAATTACTTGTTATAGAGCGAATGGCTCTTTAGATTTAAACCTAATGGAAATGTGTAGTTCCTTGAAAATTTTAGAAATGATTGAATTCAAAGTTTATCCGATCAAGGTAAAATTAATAATATTTAATTAAATATAAAATTGATTTATATTAAAAGTTATAATGCTTCAACCAAAAATTAAAAACAAATGAAATAAGAATAGTCTTTGTTTCTTTTAATGTTTATGATTTTTATTCCAATGGAAACTAAGGTAAAGTAAGTTTTTACTGTCTTACAGTGAATATCAATGTTTTCACTGTCTTGAAAAATACTTGTTATTTGCCCAATTATCATTCCCATTTTTTCAATGCGGCCTATATTCAATTTAATGATTGCTAAAATTCAGACAAACGCTCTAGGGCATCCCCTGCCACACCACACATCGGCAACCTGCAATGTGATCAACTGATTAATCGGTATTTCTGGTGACGCCGATTTGGTGGTTTGTTATATTTGCTAATTTCTTGGGGGTTATACTTTCTAATCCCAAATTTTCAAGGTAAGTTGTACATGTTTTTTAATTGTATGTCCGCCATGCATTATCCAGTAATTTAATTACTCAATTATATCTAAATGATAACACAAAGGTAAATGTGTACTCATATGGGTATACACCATGAACACAGTTTATTTTTATATTCGGTGTCATGCCTTAAAATGGCTATTTTGCTTAAATGGACGAAGTTTTTTTTTATTTATAAAAAAACTTCTTATAGTCTTTTAGTACCATCATGATATCCTTCCTGAAAGTATATATTGCTTTAGGACTTTTAGCAATCTTTAGAATTTGCCTTTAAAAACATAAGATGAAATTCCTATTTCGTTTTAGAATAATGTGCCATGGCAGACAGATTCTGCACATCCAATACAGTAACTGTTGCTAGTGATGGGTCAGCGACTTTCTTAGAGCCTATAGGCTCTAAGAAAGTTTATAATATAAACAACACTTTTAGTGGGTTCCTAATAGTTCCTACAGAAAACAGAACAATTTCATTTTATGGATCGAAAAACCTGTGTACTACCTAGAAGCAGTTTCCAGATTTCATTTTATTTAAAGTTCATATTAATTTATTATACAACTAATATTTGCACAAGAATATACATATTTAAAGGAAATAGAGCTTTGATTGCATTTAATGTAGTCATTCATTAGAAACCATAACTTTATTTATGCCAATGATAGTTTTCATTAAGATTTCAATTAAATAACAATTGAATTCATAATTTCTTATGTTTTAACTAACTAATTTTTTATACGGATTTAATAGAATCACAATTTAATTCAATGACTTCTTATGTTTGAACTAATTTTAAGCAGGTTTGCACAAATAAAAGTAAGACAATCATTCATTTGATCATAGCTGTAATTCAGGTATTGCAAATACAGTACACCATTGGCTCAATGGTTAACCCATTCACAATATAAAAGCTTTTTCTCTGTGTAAAGGGTCGGCGCTCTTACGTAAGTCGTTATAATTATTATCATAATTTATGGTATATTGTTTTTAGACTACTTAAAAACTTAATATTGCAAAATTATAATAAAACGGCAGTTTATCACGCCATGAAATGTATTATCCGACCATTTGCCAGGTCCCATAAATAAAGTTAATATTAACCTTTCTAAATTCATATATTCAGCATTGTTTTATTAACGACGTTTTAGATGAATGGACGGGTTTTAACTTTTTTATTAAAAAAAGAAAAATGTTTTTCTTATTTATTTGCGAATAAAACTAAAAATAGAAAAAAACATAAACGTCAAAATTTAAGTAACCAACCAAAATATTTACTTTTATTTACTGCTTTATTCACTTAAATAAATTGGTACTTTTATTTTAGTTATTTTAGTTTATAAGTAAAACAACGTATGTTTAATTCAAGTCCAAGTTTTATTAGATGACCCACATTTATAATTTAATATTACTTAATTTTTTTACCAGTTTCTTTTCTTAAAAACAGACGTAAGAAACTTTCATTAATTTATCCTGACTTTTAATTATTTTTTACATTAAAAGAACCCTGGTATAATAAAACAATGTCTGGTTGTTAAGTATCAAAACAAATTTTTTTAATCATAATTTATCTTACGGTAATTATGCAACAAAAAGTCCAGAAAAATGTTTTAAAGTGACTTAAAAAAGCTGTGACAAATTTTAAGCTCTCACTTTAATTTCATTGTAGGTGTTCTTTAAGTTGTGCAGTAAGTAAATTAACTTTTTGAAACCTATGTGTTTGATCCCGGCGCATTCGCCTTTTTTGGATTTTTTCTGTAAACAAAAGGCAAAATAATCGATCAACACAAATTTTCGATGAATTTCAATCGCAAATAACTTTTTTATTTGATGTCGAATTTAAACGAATATTAAAGAATATTGTAGATAAATTAATGGACAATCGCTCACATTTTAAAAATATACTAAAAAATAGACGTACATTTATAATATACAGGTTTAAACAAAAAGATGTTTTTTACCATAAGTTTAAGACACTCTGTAGAGTGGCAAAACCGTATATTGTTCTAAATTAAGTTTTATTTATCAAGTCACATCTATTCTTAACAGTTCAGTTCACCTCGATATATTTATTTTTGTGGAAAATATGGATTTTTTAAAAAAACATTGCAATTTCCAATATTTTTCTGTATGAAGAACTAAGGTTGCTATGGTCTACTTTTTAAACAATTTGATGCGATATTTAATCATAGTTACCCAAGCAAAATGTAAACGTCAAAACCCGAAAAAAAGGTTTTTCAAGATTTTAAGTGATAAGAACCAAAGAATTAAGTTAAATTACTTATTAAAATAAGAAAAGTTATTTTAAAATTGTATTATAAATTACGTTTTTTCGACTTAATTAAATATTATTAATTCTAAGTATTATTATATATAATTGAAGAGAGGAAATAAGAAAAGGCTTTTTTACATAAAAAGGTTCTCTGTGCCATGCTTTGCAACCTATGAAAAATTCTAATTGCTAAAATTACAATTTACAGCCGCGGCTAGCCGGTCGAGTATGTCGAGGGATGCAGGTGTTTACCTGGCTTTTATTTAGTTTTTTTCGATTATCTCAAAACTTTATTTTTTCACTTAGGCCCTTTCTAATTTCCACTCTACAATAAAAAATATATAAAAAATTACTTTATAATGTAGAAACTTTATCCACTCGTATATGTGTCAATGTAATTCCAATTACAAGAACCAGCAAATGCGATTTTTAAAAAATTTATAACTTTGTACGGATATTACTCCTAAAGTATATATATTACAAAGAAAATGCTTATAACCTTTTTTGTAGAATATTTATTATTATATATCACTGTTAAAACAGAATTTCGATAAAATTGATACTTTTTGCAAAATAACCAAGAAAGTAAAATTAGACCCATTTATATTATATTTTTCTTAATAAAAACAAAAAAACCGAAAGATTTTTTTTATTTTTGGTATTTTTTGTCTATAACAGGCATATAATCGATTTATGAAAAAAAACCGTGGTTGCCTGATGATCCGAAAATTGACCCTAAAAATCCACCGTGATATGCTATGGAGAATGACAGTGACAGTTTTATTCAATCATCCCATACTTGGACATGTCATGCACGGCTTTCAAAAGCTATCAAATTGTTTTTTGCAAATTAATGTTTAAATTTTGAGGTGTCTTCTTACTATATATAATGGATAGGTTTCCGACTGATGTTGCCAGAGCAATTAATTTAATCCAGGATGGACGGTCAGAGTATTACGTGGCAAGTGTTTTAAACGTCACAAGAAGTAAAGTACAAAGGGCAACATCAGTCGGAGACATTTTTAAAAGTAAGAAGACACCTCAAAATAAACACATTAATTTATAAAAAACAATTTGATAACTTTTGAAAGCTGTATATGACATGTCCAAGTATGGGATGATTCAACAAAACTGTCACTGCCATCCTCCGTAGGCTATGGATGGACCATAGCAACCTTAGTTCTTCATACAAGAAAAATATTGGAAATTGCAATGTTTTTAAAAAAAAATCCATATTTTCCACAAAAATAAATATATCAAGGTGAACCAAAAACAAAACTGTTAAAAATAGATGTGACTTGATAATTAAAATTAATTTAGAACAATATACGGTTTTGCCACTCTACAGAGTGTC